GAGTGTATTGATTAATTGCCTTATTCACTGAGTAGATAAATAAACTTTTGGTAGCATGACCAGCAATGTACATTGACGGTTTTCAGACATGTTCGCTTGGTGTCCCCAAAGTAGTTCTCCTTTTGATTCTTAAATGACATGGAGATGAAAGCTCTCACTCATATTCAGGCAGGTGTGCACAGATTGCTAAAATGCTATCACATTTTTCACATATGATGATTACAAAGAAACAAGCAGAAAAATCTGTAAATAAGAGCAAAAATAAGATTAAAAGAAGAAATAAAAATGTTTGGTGTTTAGATAATGACTTACTATATAGTTTAATTGATGGTGATATTAGCTGCTGGTTAAATGATTACCTTAGGAGGGCAATGGGAGCTATTAGATTATTGCTTCTTTTGGAAATCATGTTAAATGTAGTTTGGAAAATTGATGGCTGGCCTCAAATTTAAATTTGTGCATTTTTAGTGTCCATTAATGTTTTTCTTTTAAGTGTACTTGACTATCAAAAGAGCATATTTAAATGCTGCTAAGAATGTTGTAATTTCAGCGTAGTTTGTAAAAAAATTCTTAAAGGGACCCAAGTCATCTGGCTGTGTTGTATATAAAGTAGAGCAAAGCTGTTTTCTGGTGGTTGGTATACTTAAGAAATAAATAAAAGCTATGCCTTTTTTGATTTTTGTTATCCATTGTTTTGGATGTTATTGTCCACCTTTAAGACTCGCATACATATGTCAGCGGACAGATGGCCCTAAAGGCAGTGAGTGGGAAGTAATTACATGCGTGAGTGTGCCAGATTGATCACTTTCTTTTCTTCAAGTGTTATAAAATGAGAGGATTGGTTGACTTGAGAAATGGCTTCTGGGCATACCCAGACTAAAAGCTCCACATCAGTCCTAATGATGGTTAATGTCGACAATTTATCTTCAGATGTCTGCTGGGGCTATTTTGTGTATTCCTCTTGTCTTTTTTTTTTTGTCAGCCTCCTACACTAAAACCTGAAGGTTTTATTTTTCCACTCTTTGCAAGAGGTCGGAGTTTGATACTGTTTTTATTTCTTCTATCAGTTTTCTGTAATTTATATTTTACAGGTTCACTCCAGTTTGTTTTCTATATGTTCATATTTTACTATAGTTCTTTTTCTATTGGTTTCAGTCACTCTAAAATATTTTGTAAGGGGCTCTTACCTCATTCTTTTTAACTTTTGATCAGACTGCTTTTAAGAACCCTATATTAATTTTCTTAAGCTGTAACACATTGATTTATAGAACATTTTTCTTAGCATTAAAAATACTGGTTGAAGAAAATCTTTTCTACACCTATATTCACTTATATATGCGGAATGCAATGGCACTCATTTAAAAAATAAAAAAAGTGAAAAGATGGTTCAAAATTATTGCTATGGCAGTCCTTAACAAAATATTTACTTATGTCTTGGTTAAACACACAAAAAAGTTATCCATGTAACAATTTTTAATTTCTCACTTTCACTTTCAGTATGAGTTATTCCAATATGAAACTTATTTTTACAGGTTCTAAAAAATAAATGACTGAATAAAAAAACATTTTTGCCAATCAAGTATTGACAAAAGTAGCAGTTGCTCATTGTGCCTTTTTTTTTTTATCAGATTTTCCCATCACTTCTCTATCCCATAAAATCCTATTTAAAGTAAGTTTGTTGCTGTAACATGACAAAATATAGCTATTCAGTACTTGCAAAGTATATTTATTTCTAGGGGAAGAAAATTATTAATCTTGATCATTATATTTCAATAAAACATTTTTTTTATATTTATATAATTTCAATGTTTTGTAAGCTTATATGAATACATTTTCAATTACCAAGCTAGATATATCAAATAGAAAATACTGCTGTTCTCATGAGTCTGTTTTTCCACAAGCTGTTTAATGCAAAAACTATTTGCTATAATAAAATCTTTTAGATGGTCTATTGCAGCCTGTTAAATGGCACTAAGAAAGGCTTAAAATAACCATTTAGGAGAATAATGATGGTTGTTGTGCTGTCTCCTCTTCATAGCTGTGTGAGATGGATGAAAGGAAGAAAGTTTGGCCCAAACTGGCAGTACATCATATTTTTCCTTTACTTCTCTTTTCTTTCTTCATGTGAAACATATGGAGAATGGAACAGCTATGATAACGGTGGAGGGACATGTTGACAGCTTATTAGGACTTATTAGCCTTGAATAATTAGTTGATTCCTTCCTCGGGGGGAATTTTTAAATATTGATTTAATTCGTCTTGTTGACATGGTAACGTGAATCGAAAACAATGTTGAAACTTCAAGCAACAAATAAGTGTGGAGTTCGGAAAAAAACGTGCTGTAGCCATTAACCATTGACTCCAGCTGACGTAGAACAATTAATGAATTCCATCATATAATCAAAAAGAAGAAACTTCCATCTCCTGCTTGGCAGTTTTAGCATTCTTCACCTTTCAGACACCTTTCATCTAGATCAAATCCCTGATTAATTGTTGGAACGCAACAACAAAGTTCAGACTTTCAAACTCTGTCTGCGTGGATCTACATTAGGAAAAAATGGACATTGATCGCTCCATTCGCAGAAATCCTGTTCAGTGTGAATACACCATATGGTTAGGAGGTGGCTGCTAAGGATTACTTTTTTGTCTGTGATTTTATTGAATTAAAATTAAATTTTTATTTATTTATTTTTTTATAAATGTGGGATGTATGTATATATGTATGTGTGTGTATGTATATGTATGTATATATACAGTATATATATATATATATATATAAATAAAAATATTAGGCCTACAAACAATTGTGACTTCTTTTATCAACCCAAATGTTTAAATCATTGGTCTGTTATGTGTGTTTTTGTTTATATACAGCTAGTCTGACTTATTCAACAATTAGTTATTCATGAATGTGTAGAAGGAAAGTTCCCATGGAACAGCTGAAGCTTGATGAATTTTGCACAGTCAGTATGACTAAAAATTCAATATTGGCAAATGAATGCTAGTGTGCCGTTGATATGTGGAAGGCATGTGTGAGGAAAAGGTTTTGGCTAATGTTACGTCTGTAACTTAAAGGAATATTTTATTTTGGCTTGTGCTTAATAGTAGCCTTGTATTCCATGAGGACGGAAAAAATGTTTTATCCCAATACATTTTAAAGCTAATTAAATTAGTTATGTAGAATGTTTTGATAATTAGTTCATGATTTAACCTATAACCACGAAATGCTAGCAAAAAAACATCAAAAGATGTATATTATTAGTGATCTAGGGTAAATCCAGCTTTAAATTTATTTAATAACACTAGTTATCTATATATTATATTCATAGGACAAATCTATCAGTAAAATTCTGTTTGTAATGGTATTCATCTCTATATTTAGAGAGGACTTAGCAAATACTTACAGTAAGGTCTTGATTCATCAATCTTTGATTCAAATATCTGGTAAAGTCAAACATAAACATGCACATATTTAAATAACTTATATAAAGAGGTAGCAAGAAATTTTTGATTTGTAAGGCAACAGATAAAATAAATTTTATGTGAGTGAAATAAAAATATGTATTTATTAGTTTTGATTAACAAATACAGATATTATTTCTTTTAAATGTATTAAAATGTGCTTGTCCCAATTGATCCTTGGTACAGATTTTTGCTTGAGTAAATTTAAGCATGAAATATTGTGGTCAAAATAATTCTCCATCAGTGGAGGTTCTACAATAGTAGTGTTTGTTTATTCACCTCCACTGCTGCACCTGCCTGATCTTCATGTTGGAGTGGTGCCCAAGCCTGGTAGTCACATCTGTCTGACACAAAATAGAAACTGCACAGCCCCTAACGATACCTATTGGAGCAGTCCTAATTATTTCATCATATAGCAAAGATAAACAACAGATTCCCGATAGAAACTGCAGAGTTTCTTGGTTTGTAAGCTCCAATACAACCAACAGCCATGTGATTGACCTCACAGTAGTTTTTTTTATGTTTGGGCTACTTTATGGAACCATACAACATTTGTTTATATTAAACAGAGAAACGGATTCATCATTTCTTGTTATTCCTGCTCATTTTAATTGCTCTTACTTTTTAAAAGGAAATGTTCAAATAAGGTTTTCTGGACCATTTTGAAAATACAAAGAAATCCAACAAGTTTTCCATATTACAGCAATCAATCATTCAGTAGGTGGGACAGTAAGACAGCAGATTGGGAGTTGGTGATCAATGCATATATATGATCAGAATACAGGTACTGTATCATTTACACCCTTTTAATAGGTGTTAATCCATAAGAGGCTGAGGAACTACACCAAATGGTGTAAGGATAAGAAACATTGCAACGGCAATCTGGCTTTGCAGCGATCTTGCTGCAAGGGCTGTACAAAATATCATTTTACCGATGTGAAAAAGACAAACGTAATAAAATAATATATCAATTTTAGACAAGTTGTTAATCTTCAATTCAGTATTAAAAAAGCGTGTCTTTTTAAAACCAAGTAAGGTATGGATCATGGCATAGAAAGAGGTCATGGTCCATAAATCAATCGTGCTGCCTTACAGTTGGGAACACAAGAATTACTGTATTTGATGGCAGTATTTCTACAATACGAATCTCAATAGTGAAAGCGGCTCTAATTTTAAAGAATTTTAAAAAGTTTAAAATATTTTTTGGGTAAGTCACTAACAATATAACAGAGGTTTTAGTTTGCTTTTCTTTTTCAAACCAAACCAATTAAAAGTTACATTTTTACAGCTTTTTTTTACATTATAGATGCTACTGTACACACTTTGATTTATTGCTAACTTTGAAGTTTCCCATTAGACATTAACTTTATTGATATTTTTCTGCTTGTTTCTGGGTTTTTTTAATGATTGCATACCTAAAATTCAGCATTTGGAAACGAATTGGCAATTTTCTTACATATTCATCTTTAATCAAACAGGGTCACATTTCTGTGCTATTTGACTAACCGTCTAAATAATTTTTTTTTTTATCTCTTAAGGTTCAACAACTACACTTCAGCTAAAAGTCTTGGATTTACCATCACCATGGGCTACAGGTGTCACTCGTCTGTCCTGTCTCCTGCACTGATACTAGCTGTTGTTACTGTGATTCTCCTCCTGGAACCCCGGACCACGCTGGCTGGTGCCGCTCCCGAGCAAAGCCTGGGCAGCTCTGTTTCTGCCGTGTCTACAAATAAAACAGAATGCAGCAAACCTGAACAGTGTGAAAATGGGGTGCTGCTACCCATGTGGGAGCCGCGAAACCCATCATTTGGAGACAAGGTTGCCAGAGCAACGGTTTACTTTGTAGCTCTGGTCTACATGTTCCTTGGTGTGTCAATAATTGCAGATCGTTTCATGGCATCGATAGAGGTCATTACATCACAGGAAAAAGAGATTACTATCAAGAAGCCGAATGGAGAAACCACCAAAACTACGGTGCGAATCTGGAACGAGACTGTCTCTAATCTCACCCTCATGGCTCTGGGCTCATCTGCTCCTGAAATCTTACTCTCTGTCATAGAAATAGTGGGTCATGGGTTCGATGCTGGCACACTGGGCCCCTCTACTATTGTGGGTTCTGCAGCATTCAACATGTTTGTCATCATTGGGATCTGTGTGTACGTTGTGCCCGATGGAGAGACGAGGAAGGTCAAGCACCTCAGAGTCTTCTTTGTCACAGCCGCCTGGAGTATCTTTGCCTACATCTGGCTCTACCTGATCCTGTCGGTGATATCCCCTGGTGTGGTGCAGGTCTGGGAAGGTCTGCTCACTTTCCTCTTCTTCCCGATCTGCGTTGTGTTCGCATGGGTGGCAGACCGTAGGCTGCTATTCTACAAGTATGTCTACAAGCGTTACCGCACTGGCAAGCAGCGTGGCATGATCATTGAGACGGAGGGAGATCGTCCGCTTCCTTCCAAGGTAAGACTTTGTCAAATGACATAGATGTCATTGCTACCACACGTTTTTTGGGAGACCTGTTCTTCTGAAAGTATATTTTTCAGAACAGTCAGCCAAACAGAACAATATAGGCAAATAGGATATTTATTTACACAGCTCAAAAAATTTTAATGGAAAGCTCATAGTTGTTCATAAAAAATAAACAATAAAAGGCATTAGAAATTGTACAGTAATGTCAAAATCACAAAGAAAAATCAGTGAGGTGGTCCTTGTTCATTAATACATGGGAGAAAAACAGTTGCTCTGTTATGCTGTAGTAAGTTTATTGGTGTTTTTTAATTTGAAATTAACAGCATTAGTGTGTGCTGTAAAGTTAAATGATGGAATTAAACTTGTAGCTACAAACGAAAATGACCTCTGATCTAATTCCATCTGTTTATTGCCTGTGATCTTTGTATTGTGACGCACTGCATTTCTGTAATTGCTTCTGTTGTTGTGGTGGAGACTCTTTTCTTTTTTATTTATTTATTTTTTTCCAATTTTAAGACATGTATAGAACTGTTTTGGGTTAGAATTTTTTTTCTCCTGTGTCTTTGGAGATTTTACTTTCTAGTAAGGATGAAACAGCCTATCAAATGTAGCAGTACGTAGCTCTGATAAAGGAGCTTTTAAAATATCTAAATAAATAAATATAGATAGATATAGTTTGACTCACATTCCTTCATGTTAGACTTTAGTTTTTTGTCAGTTGTGTTCTAAACTATGTTTCTATAATATAGTTTATTTGTACAATCTTAATAATTTTATAGCAAAGCTTTTATTAAAAATATCTGAGATATTAATAAAAAAATGGCAGTCTGTTTTAGTGCATTCAGTGACAATAGATTGAGAAATATTTAATATTTGTAAATTGGCACTTAAAAATAAGTCAGTATTCATTTATTTCTATAAAATGAAATTTCCAATGATTTAGTTCTGACTGAATTATGCCTGATGCATAATCATCAAGAATTCAGATGCCTCTCAAAAGCCTCTTGAAAGCACAAAGCTAGAAGGGTTATAGTGAAGCTGTTTATAGTGTTTAACAACTACTTTTATTTGAAGCGGTTTGCTAAAATATGAGGCTAATGTTAATTTTCTTCTTTGCATTGAATTTACTAGCATCTTATTTTGTAGGGGTTAGAGTAAATTGAATGCAGAAATTCAACTGTGTTGCAGACTTGAAGCTGCAAACCCATTACACACAAATTTGACAACCTTCAAATCTGCTTGATGACAATGTCTTTTACACTAATTAGTAATGACTTAATTTAGATTTTAACCCTTTGCTTTGAAAAAGCCTGGTGCTCAACACAAAACAGAATATAATATAAAAAACTCTGGGTGTGCCAAGATTAAATCGTGCCAGCTGCAAAATCCTGTGTATTTCATGCAACTTTTGCTTCTTGTCGCTACAAAAAACATGTTGCATTTTTAATTCCTACTTTTATTCTGCATCATAAGATGTCAAAAAGGCTTTAAAAGGGATAGAGATCCTGTCATTTTGCAGAATCACAGAGGTATTGTGCATCAATTTAAGCAAGAATTCTGAATTTAGACTGATGTACTTGTCTAAGACTGATTCTTATTTAAAAGCCTGGAGACAAATGAAAGTGCTGTCAGCAAGTGCTTCAATAGTATGGGATACCAGAGCTGCCACATTAGTTGGGTATTTGCCAGGTGATGGACCCCGCCAAAAATGGTCTTAGAAAAAGAGCAATTGTGATGTCTTGTGAAGCCATAACGACCAGATATTTAATGAATTAAACAAATTAACTCCCCTAAATAATAAGCTAAAAGTATGTTTAAATGTATTTTTATTGGTTCATTATCTTGATTAAGTTAATACATTGTCATGCTATTTTACACTATGCTAAAAAAAATAGCATAAGAGATGAGTCAAATTTGCTCTTTTTAATCAGCCTAAGGAATTCTCATCACCCCGACATTGAAAAGTTATCTGTAGGCAGCTTGAACTTTCTCAAAGTTTGTTTTTACAAGATGTACAGCACATGCATGTGGAATGGTCTTTCTGTCCAATGTAAGCAGATCTTTGGACTCATCCTGGAAAGGATTGCCCAGATCCCTAAAACAAGCAACCTCTCGGCCTTGTCATTGAAGGACTTCTGAGACTGGTCTGCTCATAATGTCAGTTGCTTCTGAGATGCTAACTTATACTAGTTGACATACTGGCCAACTTCTGGTCCGGACACCAACCTCAGTGCAGATGGATCCTCAGTAACTCCAATGGCACCACCATCACCTTTAAGAACTGCATTAGCCTGTTCATGAGCTTGGTCAATGTCTATGCCTGAGAAAGTATCTATCAGAGATAAAGAAACTATCTCTCTGAGGGGAAAGGGGAACCATCGAGCATACTTCACATAGTTGTTTGCAAAGAAGAAGGGATTAGAGCAGAAAGTTATTTACAATATTACTTGAAATGTGTCTCTCTGACAGACCTGACCAACAAAAAAAACAAAAAATACAAACTCCCAGAAATGAAAACGAGGACTCTCCTCCTTAAAACATCCTCTTAAAGGAATACCGTTTATCACATTATTATTAAAAAGACAACTCCCACTAAATCCTGCAGATTTTCACTCAAGATCATCTCAGAAATCTTAAAAAAAAAGTATTGCCACCATAATGAAAACTGGAACCCATTGTAATTCAGTTGGCACCATTTCATTCTTCTGGTATACATTTTGATTGTTGGATTATTAATATTACAATTACTACTTTGAAAAACTTTTTTTTTTTTTTTTTTTTGTAGGAGCCATATTGGATTTTCAGCCAAACAACATTCTTTTATTAGAAGGTATATCCTGAAGAGAATTTCTGCCATATTTGGTGCTTTGTACCATCGGTGAAATGTTTTTCTATTCCACTATGGCTTCCACAAATTTTAAATTCGGACTGATAATCTTAATCTGATGAAGAGAACTGCTTATTTGCTTTCCTATTTGTTTTTAGTCAATCTTAACATTTTGTAGATGCATATGTGCATATATGCATATATATGTTAACATGTTTTCATTCAACACATTTTTTTAATTAATTGTAAAGAACAAGCATGTAAACTAAACAAATTGATAGCTTATCCCTAAGCACATCTGTTTGGATATCTCACCATTTCTTTCAGCGTGTCACTGAAACTAGGTTCAGTTGGTTTATTTCTAGGTCCCTATTCTAACTTTTTATAAAAAATTTTAATATTGACATACTGTACGTAAAAGTGCACCACTCTATACTTACTCTGGTTTTTCACTGCTTAAACTCTGAGCTCTTTAAATATTTTCTCTTGTGTGTGTTAAAAGTTTCTTTTTAAAACAAGTATTATTGCTTTACTGCTCTCTTCTTTTTGGTTAGTTTTGCTTCAATTTAAGTTGATGGTAAAAATGTTTTTTTTTTATTTTTTTTTGTTTATCTGTTTTCTAATTTTGAAGTAAATGCAAAGTTCAACCATTATTAATTTTGAATTTTTTTTTGTCTCTGGTTACTAATGTTTTTTTCTTTTTATTTCTATTTTAAGGTGGACATTGAGATGGATGGAAAGATGCTAAATTCTCATGGTGTTGACTTCCTTGATGGTCCGCTGGGTTTGGATATTGATGAAAAGGATTTGGACGAGGAGGAAACCCGCAGAGATATGGCTAAGATCCTGAAGGAGCTCAAGCAGAAACACCCTGACAAGGAGGTTGGTAACATAGTGATTCATTACTACCCAATAAAGATAATCTTTACCCCTTAGTGTTATTTCCTGCTGTGTGAAACAAATAATACTCTCCAGCCCGATCGTTGTGACCAATAATTGCTTATTACCTCATAATGTTTTAGATTAAGCTGATTCAATAAAACTTGAAGCAAGTTTCAAACTAAATAAGAAAATGTCAACATTTTGGTTTAAAAATAGATAAAAAGGCTTTTAATTGACTAATGTACTACTTACAAGAATATATATATTTACCAGTTACTATACTGCAGAAAATACACTTGAATGTTCCTAGATTTGCTCAAACCTGTTTCGAGAAAAACTAAAATGGTGGTAGGGATAAGTAAAAATTGCTTCGCTAGAATTCTTAAAACTTCTAAAATACATTTCTTAAATAGTCTTAAGTGGCCTTGCTCTTAAGTTAGGAGTCAACATCAACATTAATCTCTAAATCAAGCATAAGTTCTTTTCTCGGTATCCAGAATATGTCGAAGACATCCAGCAAGTGAGAAACGGCATCCCCAGGTGGATGTGACATTGTAGTCTTTGCGCAGCTGGAACTCCACAACTCGGTGACCGATCAAACGTTTGACATATTTTGTTTACCAATTAAATAAGGTTTGTTTTTTTTTTCTCTCTCCAAAAAAGAGCACTAGTGGCTCTTAGAGGAGAAATGACTGGATATGAACAGGAAGGCTAAGTCCAGATTGCTGATTTAGAAAAATTATAAAAGAAAGTGCTTTAATAATAATTTGTGTGAAGCTACAACTAGAATTTTTTAAAATTTCAAATAAGTCATAAAATTCAAATAATCCAGATTGGCACTTTTGGTCCTACTTTGGATCAATTGTGCCAGATTAACCTTTCACATACATGAAAGGTCACAATTTCACAATACTTATGACTAGAGACCTGCAATATTAAGCAGTTGTTGAGCAACATCAACAAGTCTTTTGAGCTGGAGACATCAGCTATGAATTATAATGCGAGAGAAATAAATTATAATTTTGGACATATTTGAAGCTAAATAGGTCAAGTTGGTTAAAACTTAGTTTGTACACATACCTCAAGAAATCTTATCTTTCAAACGAGACACATCCCAAGCATGTGGGATTTATAATATTATTTACTGGTTTAAATTTTGGTTTGATTAAAAATGTGGGAGCTAAGGGGTTTATGGGCCTTTGGCAACAATTTGGAAATATCTGGGTTAGGAAGTTTTCTAGTGGTGTGGAAATTTAAGTAAAAACCAAAATGTCTTATTTAATTGCTTCAGGGTGCAGGTTTTAATACAATTCAAATTTTCTTCTTACTAGGTGGAACAACTCATTGAACTCGCCAATTACCAAGTCCTTAGCCAGCAGCAGAAAAGTCGAGCCTTCTATCGATGTCAGGCCACCCGACTCATGACTGGTGCAGGCAACATTCTGAAGAAACATGCTGCAGACCAGGCTCGAAAGGCTGTGAGCATGCACGAGGTCCGCTCCGACGCTGGTGATAATGATCCAATCTCCAAGATCTTTTTTGAGCCAGGCTCCTACCAGTGTCTTGAGAACTGCGGCACAGTGGCTGTAAATGTGGTCCGGAGAGGCGGGGATCTGGGCAAGACTGTGTCTGTGGAGTACCGGACGGAGGACGGCACTGCCAATGCTGGTTCTGACTACGAATTCACAGAGGGTGTGGTAGTGTTCAAGCCAGGCGAGACCATGAAGGAAATTCGTGTGGGAATCATCGATGACGACATTTTCGAGGAGGATGAAAACTTCCTTATTCATCTGTCCAATGTCAAGGTGTTAGCCTCAGAAGGTGAAGAGCCAGAGGAAAATGAAGCAGCTAATCATGTTGACTCTATTGCGTGTATTGGCATACCATCAACAGCCACCGTTACCATATTCGATGACGACCACGCCGGTATCTTTACGTTCGAGGAGCCTGTTTGCCATGTCAGTGAGAGTGTTGGTATAATGGAGGTGAAAGTGCTGAGAACCTCTGGAGCTCGTGGTGTGGTCATGCTGCCATACAAGACTGTGGAAGGGACTGCTCGAGGCAACGGGGAGGACTTTGAAGACACTCATGGCGTCCTTGAATTTCAAAACGACGAAATCTTGTAAGTAGCTTTTTCATTTGAATTCAAATCTTAACGATGTCATAGTAACTCACATTTTGCATTAAGAATTGCAATTTATAATTTAGAGGATTCATTATCAGCTAATCTTTTATGTGGAAATGTTGGTTTGATGAGGTGGCCAGATTAATTGGAATGGCGGACAGCTTTATTCAACAAATTCAACAATTCCATACCTGTTAGCAGCTGCCCCTCTTCTCTTTCATTTCCTTTTTTCTAATATCTTCTTTTTTATGCTCTTTTTTTATGTTTAGGCTTGTGATTTATTTCATCATGCAGCTCTTTTAGTGTTCCTCGGGGAACATATTGATTCCTTCATGTATTCTTGCACAGTAAGCACTATAGACTTGGCTTCTAAGATTCCGGAAGCCACTGTTTAAGAGAATACAGTTACTGGTTGGGTACTTGGTAGTTTGAATTTTAATTAGATAAAATGTCCTAGTGAGGAAACTGAATGACATTTTTTGACAATGATTAGAGTACGATTTGCAAAGAGGCACTAGCTAGATGCTGGATATGGTTCAAGAATTCCAACAGCAGGATATCCTTAAATGCCAACAAAGAACATGTGTTTTGTTGACTTAATTTTAAAGCACAAAAGCCTTTTTAAGCCATAAATCAAGTTGCTCTTTTTAAGTGGCCTTTTACTGTGTGAGACCCTCCAGGGGCAACTGGTTGTAACAGGCTAGTGGCTTTTTGTTCAGCTTAGTCGGTGAAAAGGGCTCAGACCTTCATTTAAGATTCCCTGCAGTGAAAGGATGAATCTTCTGTTCAAAGCTTTACTGAACAGAGTTTCTGTTTAATGGCGACTCACGGTGAGCATTGTGGTTGCTGTTGGACCACATTACAGGAAGCCTTTTAGGTCAGTGGTCAGATTCGGCATCTGTAATCTTCTTTGTGAAACACAGTGTGGGAAACTTGATCCGAATATCAACCGTTGATGTAACATAGCAACCTGGATTTTCTTCCCACAAAATTTTTCTGGAACAGTAAACTTGGATATTAAGTTTCATAAAGTCATCATCTATCAGTCATGATGTTATTTTGTTCATGCTGATAAAATAAGATCATGCTGAAAGAAATGGTTGAAACTGAACATGATTTTCATCTTTTCTTTCAAACACGGCACAGTGCTTAATGGTTATATTTGTCCAAAACAGTTTTCCTTATATTTAACAGATGGTTCTCGGTATGCCCTTTTACTTTTTGTAAAACACTAGCTGCTTTCATTTAAACCATTTCCATAAATTGCCGTATACTGAAAGTCTTCTTGTCTTGGCCTTCAGATTTTTTTTGAAGGATTTTCCAAACTCCATAATATCAGGAGTTCATCCACATATGTTCTATAACCCTGGTTAATTAATGAAAACTTTGTGACAGTTTTAATACAGGGCCAGATGGCTACATAATCTATTCATGAAATGGGATTCATGTAGATCTATCTTTGACGGACTTCATTAGTACTGAATTTCTGCAAGTTCCCCCCCCCTAACACTAATGGGATATCTTGAATTATGTTATCTGATAAAAATGTAAAGGATTATTAAAGGATAATTTAAAGTATTCAATAATTCAACCTCTGATCAATTTGAATGCTTAGGGATATCAATGTTAGGTTGCTCATAAAGAAAATCCACATAATTTTTTTTAGGTTGTCATGAGTTTCTTGTCTTTAAAACAATTTAAAATTTAACATCAAAAAGACCATTTGGAATTGAGAGGTGTTTTTTGTCTTTTTGTTTTATTGCTTTATTTAGAATACAGACTTTATTTGTTAGAAGCACAATATTGCTCCTTGCTGGGGTGGAAGGAAATGGTCTAAGTTTGCTTCTAGAACTTTTGGATATAAAGGTAAAATATCTCATTGTTTTAGTGCGTGGAAGTAGAGTTCTCTTTCTGATATACAACAACAATATCCGATACAGCTGCTGTTTCGCATACAATGTAGAGGAAGTTGCTGGTCTAAAGTATTTTATTTCTGGTGGTTTACTAAAGTAGTGGTCCACAATATACCGAGAAATTTCCAATGTTAAAACGGGTTCCTTTAGAGTTTACCACAATAATTTTTATTGCCAATAAATGGCAAAAACTACCGGCCCTCTGATTCATAACATGAACAGATCTTCTTAGGGAGTTTAGATGTAGCATTAAAGAACCAAACATGAAAAACCTCAGTTGCTGTCTAAGTGTTTTATTATAACCATGATAACTGACCGTTATCTCATGATGTAGATAACCGATAAGATAACCCTTTATTGCAGGGATGTCAAAGTCAAATACACCGATGGACAAAAAAACAGATTTGCTACAAGCCTGGGTAAATGTTTATTAAAACATATTGAAATGAACAAAGCCTATTGAACCAAGACCTAACACATAGTTAAAAAAAAATAAATAAATAAATAAATAAATATATATATATATATATATATATATATATATATATATATATATATA